CAAACCACATCCTTTTTGGATGTGTTGAACTTGAACTGGTTCCTTTTTCAAATGAAGTTTCTAAGCTCTGGTCTGTCGTGGACATTCACTGGAAAGCTCATGTTGTCAATAACACTGACCCTCCACCTAATCTAGGCTTATATTTTAAGTTTGTCTTTGATTGTGTCTTACCAATGAGGAGCTGTAATCCCCACCAAGTTCTTCATTACCATGTGCTTCCAATTTGACAAAAGGCAATATTTGGAGAAGCAATTTTCATTTGGGGTGGGATTTGATTGCTTAATAGGTTAGGCTCATGTCAGAAATGCCATTTCCTTCCCCCCCAACTCCCCTTGCCCTCAACTCAGCAGCTTTCTGTTACTTCTGGCTCAGTCCCTTTCATGCATATGTTGACCCAATGCTATCCCCACATGTGAAGAAGCAAGGCCAGTCAAATGAGCTATTACCAGAGGAATATCCTCCTTCAATGCAACTGACCCTTGTGAAAGGGGGGGGTGTCACTTGGAATCACACAGAAAAACAACCATTCTTTAGCTGCATACAATTTTTAAAAAATAGCTGTGAGGCATTGCATGGAGCGGGGGTAGGAAAAAGAAAGACATTGATCTCTGTGTTTGATTTGATTTATATATTTACCAAGACATGAACAAGCCTTGCAACAGCCTTTGTGCTAGCATATATCCCTTCCTATTATCAGCCTCTAAGACAGCCTTCATCAACCTTGATGGGGTTGATGGGAGTTGTAGTCCCTACCACCTGACAGATCTGCTGCCAGTCACAGGGGATTGAGGAGAGGAGATTGGGTTGAGACTGCAGACCCTCCAAATCTCCCTATGTTCCAGGGAAAGTTCTCCTCACAGATCTACGGTGCCCAGGGTGGTTTTACAACCAATCGCTCTTCACAGGGGACTCTGGGAATTGCTGTTCTGTGTAGGGGACTCCTAACAACTCTTGGCACTCATAACAAACTACCGTTCCCAGGATTATTTGGGGGGGGGATTATGATTGTTAAAATGGTATAAATGTGCTTTAAATGTATGGTGTGGATTCAGCCTTTGTGAAAGTGCACTTCAGGTAGTCAGTAGGTCAGGGTGACAGTGAGGTGACAGCGACAGCACAGGGACAGAGCATAAACACTGGATTGGCTCCACTAATGCATCTATACAGCCCTGAGCTCACTGCTGCCTTGCCGTGCCCAGGTAAACTACAGTTTTGTTGGTGCCAGGAGGATGGTTCAATGGCTCCACCCCACCAAAGGGTTGGCTACCACCAGAACTATATAGGAGAGCCAGGGAAGTCACCAATATTTTTGAAGAATCGTTTTTTTCAGTTGCCATCAATTGCAGGGAAGACTTAGATGTTGCTTCTTGGGCCAAAATGCCCGAGGAATTTTACAGGGATTTTGATAAAAACCTTTGAAATTTCCATGGGGATTCTGGTCAACCCACAAAGTTATTGCTGAATTTTGCCTAAAGTGCAGTTCTGAGGTGAATTTGGTGGTTTTGTCTTGGGTAAAACATCTGAAGAATACCAAGGGGGGGGGAGTTTTGATACCGCTATCATGATTTCTCAGCAGTACTTTATACATCCCTCATTTTTATTCTATTTTGTCTGTCAAAATTACAAGAAAGTGATTGCCAAAGCTGTTATAGCAGCCGTATTTTCCCTATCAGTCTGCTCTTCTGGTAAACACACACATTTATCTATCTGTTCTTTCCCTTTTTAATGAAAAAAGAGGGGAATTAGGAACTGCATTATTAATGAGTAATTAAAGACAGATTAAAGATCTATTAACCCACAGTTTTGTTACGGAGATTTTTTTGATATTTTTTTTTTAAGCTGGAAGATGAAATAAGAACTGTCTCTCTTTTGGAAAGGGTCTGATGAATGCAAGTTCATGTGAGGTTGTCAAGCAGAGCTGGGCTTAATAGATTTATCCATCTCTTCTTGGCAGACTATAATAGGGTGTGGAGTCAGTCTGCAGATCAGCGGATAGCTACAGAAAGCTCATCACACAAAAGCTGTTGTTAGGGTAGAAACAGTTTTGGAATACCCAGATATGATTAAAAATTAATCTGGACAACTGCATTTAGGGGCACTGTGTGAAATAGTTAATCTGTCGGTCCGTAAGGAGGGATAGTGACAAATGGAGCATGCACTAAGGGATATAGCTAAGCTGTTTCTTGAGAAATATACCCCCTCCCACTGTCCACTGCACACCTATGGTCAGATATCTTGTTCTGTGACCGAGATCCTTTGTGTCTGTCCATTTCTGCAGCTGCTCACCACATACTCCTTTACTCTTCAGTGAGAGGTTTATTACAAAATATTATTTGATCGTTGGCAGATCACAAGCAACCAGTTGCTCTAATTTCTTTCTTTAGTTTTAACATGTGCCAGTCATGCCATTCTCCTCTTGTCAGGGACAGGCACATTCAGACAGCAACCGGCACATCCCCAAAGAAATGCAAGGCACTGAGTAGCATGGATTCCTTCAGTGACTTGGAAGGACTTTACAATCCAGAAAGGATGGACTGAAATGCCACGGATGACGGAGTTTGGCTCTTGTCCATCAGCTTGGGAAGTGGTGACAAAGACCATTCTCTGGTAGTGTGGCCTTGTGTGTGTGGGGGGGGGAATCTGAATTTGCAGTGTTAAGCTTTGGTCCAGAAGTCACCTTGAGACCTGCTTACTTACATCAAAGTTCAAATGTTGAGAGACGTGCTTCAGCAGGAAGCTGGTGCTCCTCATAGCTCTTTCACACTCATACATATTTTGGGAGTCAATGCAGAAAGGCAAGATTGGAATGCCACAGATGACGGAGTTTGGCTCTTGTCCATCAGCTTGGGAAAGGGCATTGGAGACCATTCTCTTGAAGCGTGGCCCTGTGAAGGAAGAAGGACTTGGTATCCTCCTGGCAGACGTGGGGAATGGATGCCCAATGCCCCAGCCCTGACATTGCTCCCAAAGAAAGCTTGGCCCACCCACTTCAGGACAAGAGCATCTCCTTTCTGCTCTCATGCATGGGACTTGCAGGGGAGCTGTGTGGAGGAAATCCCAAGATTGCATAAAATAGTCTATGTCCCACAGAAGCACGGCAGGCATTGTAGGCAAACTCAGCCAGCGGTAGCAGATCCACACAATCGTCCTGGGGATAACTAAGGAAGCAGCAGAGATACACTTCCAGGACTGCTCTGTCTGCCTGTCTCCTCTCTCCAGGGCCTTTTCCCCTTTGGCAGCAGCCACAGCGGTGCATACAGCAGTTCCTCTGAGACAAGAGGCCTTTGTCTGGGCTCCAGTCCCACCCAGGATGAGGCGGCTCCCAGGCTGAATCTTTCCCTTGTACAACTTCCAATATGTCCTTTTTATACATGGCGGCCTCCCCTTCTTCATGGCACCACAGCAGCCTCTGTGCCCTGCTTGTCTTAGGACTGGCGGTTTCAGAAACTGACTCCTGGAGAAGAACGCAAGCTGCTTGTAAGGAAAGGGCAGCTGCTGCCTCTGGTACTCAGCGGGGAAGCGGAAGCAGCCCTCGCAGGTCACAAAGCCATGGGAAACCACAGACACCGAGGCGGCAGTGGCGCAACCCGGAGCCACGGCTTCAGTCAGAAGATGCGTTCGAGTTTGGGAAAGGGATTGCCGCCCCAACCAACCTATTATCCCACTCTTTTTCCTCCTCAGTGAGAGGTTGTGACCACGTTTCTGCTCCAGTATATATGTGTGTGTGAGAGAGAAACAGGGTTGTGCCCCAGTGCCAACTGGGGATGATGATTAGCCTGCTGGAAGGAGAGGGAGTGTGTGTCAGGTACTGGGCAGAGGAGGAATGCTGGAGGAATGCCTCCCCATCTTGACCCTTCCGGGGAGGAGGAAGAAGAAGACAGTATAGATTTACAACAGGGGTTTAAGGGAGGTCACAGCTCAGAGGCAGATGAGGGGGGGAAGATGGGAAATAATGGGAGAGGAGGAGACAGAACCGGAGCGGCAGCTGGCTTACACCTTGTATTAGAAAGCATCCCAGACCTTCCATCTCCCAGAACCCGGCGAGCCTTAAAAATAGGAGGAACAAAGTGCTCAAAGACAGAGGACACATAGCAGCAACCATAGAAGTGACAAACGAGGAAGTGGGAGAGATGGGGAGAGGAGATTCACTTGCCATTATCTAAGAGGCTGGGTTCTATAGCCTCTCTTTGTCAATATAGAAATAAAAAAGGATGGCAAGAAACCTTTCCTTGTCTTTATACTTTCCTGGGCAACCAGCTGGGAGCCTCTGACAGTTGTGTCAGTTGTGACCTCATTCTGATGCTGTCCACCTGAAGTATAGGCAAGGCCATTGTGACTTCATGTTGATGCTGCCTGCCTAAAGGAGGGAGACTGGCCATTGTGACCTCAGTTGTTGCTGCTAACTGAAGGAGAGACTTCCATTATGACCTCATCTTGCTGATGCCCAACTGAAGGACAAAGACTGGCCATTGTGAACTCATGTTGATGCTGCTAAGCTGAAGCATACTGACTTTTGTGGACTTCATGGTCATGAAGCCCACCTAAAGCTGAGAGAAACTGGCCAGGGAGCCTTTCAGTAGCTACCGCCCATCCAAAAGCGAGAAAGATAACATTCCTTGTGTCCACATTGTGTTAGCCAAGGGTCACTGATTGTATATTTTGGTGACTCATTGTTAATATTTGCAGGATTCCCAAAGCTAACTTCTCATGGAATCAGCTGCATGAGTGAAGTTGGGGTTATGGGAAAGGAAGGTCTTCCAAATGGTATGAGCTGATCGTGTCTGAGAAATGGCACCTCTCCTTTTACAAATTATGCAGTACCAGTCAGATGAGATGTTATTTGGAAGATGTGCCAATAGTCTTGACTCACTATGATATGTTCCTTACAAAGAAACATAGGAAGCGGCCTTATGGTGAGTCATTAGTCCATCTACTGTAAGTCAGGATTGTCAGCACTGACTCTTCAGACTTTCAGATAGAGGATCTTTCCAAGCCTTACCTGGAGGTGCCAGGGATTGATCCCAAGACCTTCTGCATGCAAAGCAGCTGTTCTGCCACTGAGCTATGGCCCTTCCCAATCTCTAAATACTGTTGACAACAACAGTGTTGGTTTCCTATTCTCCCCATGGTGGCAGTAATCATGTGAGAGTTAAATGAAATGTACTTTCCCTGCCAGCTATTTTCAACAAGTGAAACTGAATTATTCTAGGTTTGTTCACATAAGAGCAAAATAGACTAATTTGAAATCCAATGTCCAAGGTGCTGTCTGTCAGATGAAAAATGAAACCAATGTGACTTTTTCTAGTGAATTTCAAGGCAGAAGGCTAGGGTGCTCCAGCTTTTTAAAATGACTGAATCAAACACTACAAAATGGTAGGAGGATACCTATTTACTGAAAAAGGAGAATAGAATAGAATTTTCACCACAAAGACTGTTGCATGTTGCTAATTTGAATGGGTTGGGTATAGAGAAGGAGCTTTCATTTTCAAGAAATGAGTATCACAAGGAAAAGGTCTTACTGTAATAACTCATAATCAATACTGTTCAGTGGAGACAAGCCACGGATTCAGCTGTAGACCACTGAGAGCTTGTTCAAACTTATTGGTAGGGAGATCTCACAGGGAGAGAAGGAAGGTAAGAGGGGAAAGGGTTAGGGGAAGATGCAAAGGATAGAAGGAGCAGAGGCCAAGGGAGGAAAGGGAACCTACAATTTATCGGGTTTGATGCTCTGTGTGTGTATGTGTGTGTGTGTAAAATTTTCATTACAACAATACTTCAACAATCATTCTAACATTTTGAACCTTGACTTCCTTCCCCCTCTTTCTTTGGTTCCTTATATTTACTTTCACATTCTCTGCATACTCCAAATTATCTTAACTTATTCTTTTAATCATCTGTTCTCATATTTATTTTTCAAACGGCAGGTTTTAACAATAATCCTGCCAATGTCTTGATCTGTTTTCAGCTTCTTTGTAAATATTCAATAAACCATTTCCATTCCTTTATAAAAAAAGAGATTTCTTATTCTTCCGCTAAACTTCACCATTTCTGCATAGTCCATTAGTTTCAGTATCCATTCTTCTTTTGTCGGGACATCTTCTTCTTTCCATTTTTGGGCAAATAATGTTCTTGCAGCTTTAGTTGCATACAGACACATGCCCTCCTTAGCTGGAATGGGCCAGGACAGAAGGATACTATGTAGATCCACATTCCACCTAATTCCATTCTATGTTTGTTTTGCAATTAAAGCAAGTTCAGATAGTTGCTTCTATGTTACTTTGCTTGAGATCCTCATAGGAAAAGTGATTGCTGACACATGTTTCCCCCCTCTTCTAAGTTACCACTGATGCTAATTAATAGTGGAGTTTGTTCATGAGCAACCCCCTCCCCCATTTCAATCTCACTATGACTCAAAAGTGCAATTAGAAATTGCTTTTGTAAATTCCCAACTTCCCCTTTCAGTGAATCTAATGAAGTGGTGATTAATATTCCACAGGGCTAGGTGGAAATAAGCTTCAAGGTAATTTAAAAGAGTTGTAAGGGAAGAGGACGGTGTCAGTCAATTACCGACATTGCCACAATAGACTTTTAACTATGCATAGCATAGTTGAGAAGCAAGTTGATCATTGGTCCATTCTGAAGTACTTTGGGCTATTGTTGTCTTTACATGCATAGCTTTGATGAATAAACTCAGTGAGTGTGAGTGTAGTTTGGGGAAAATGGCCTGGCAGGATAAGATGGGCCCATGGACCAGAGAGCCTCATCCTGTAGTGTAGACAATAATGAGCTAGATAGACCAATGGCTTAATTCGGTATAAGGCAGCTTCCTATATTCTTGTATTTTTGTTCTTAAAAGAAAGGATGAGGGCTCATGCCATCTTGCATTTGAAGTAAAGCAAAAATTCTTCAAATTTGATGAATCCTGACGATTAATCCAATATTTATCCCAAAAATAGTGGGATGAATGCTCTGGGTCAGCACTACTATGAGTTCAGATGATGTAACCTTAAAGGTAAAGGGACCCCTGACCATTAGGTCCAAACGTGACCGACTCTGGGGTTACGGCACTCATCTCGCTTTATTGGCCGAGGGAGCTGGCGTACAGCTTCTGGGTCATGTGGCCAGCATGACTAAGCCGCTTCTGGCAAACCAGAGCAGCGCACGGAAATGCCGTTTACCTTCCCACTGGAGTGGTACCTATTGATCTACTTGCACTTTGACGTGCTTTCGAACTGCTAGGTTGGCAGGAGCAGGGACCGAGCAATGGGAGCTCACCCCGTCATGGGGATTCGAACCGCCGACCTTCTGATTGCAAGTCCTAGGCTCTGTGGTTTAACCCACAGCGCCACCCACGTCCCGATGTAACCTTAGCTGGATATTAAACCATGTATGGAAATTGGATGTTACGTAGCAAAGCACAAATCAGTCTTCTTTCCATTCCATATCACTTTTGTATGCATTCACATATAAGCTGATTCAGTTTGCACAATAATATGCTTTTTTAAAAAGAGAGAGAGAGATCTGCATGAAGATTTGCACTCAAATGTCTATTTGTGGTTTCTCTCAAAATTGCATATCTAAACAGATCTCTCTCTCTGAAAATATGTACTTGTGACTTACATTCTGATACATATTTGATCTGAAAACTGGAACTGCAAAAGCCAGGGATAGTGTGGATCAGGTCAGTTTGTATTGGAATTCACAAAGCTTAAAATTCCACAAGCATCCCTACTGCCATGTCCATGGCTCACCTTTCTGGTCCAGCTGTCAGTGCTATGGTTCATGATGTAGCCCTCTTCAAAGAAGCAGTAATTGTGCCCATCTGCTATTCAGGAGAGGCACGCAGGTTGGATTGACTCTGTGTTTTTCTTTTGTTTAATTAGTGTATTTAATTTGGGGGGTTGTCAAATAATTAAATCATGTTGGTTGATCAATCATCTGACTCTAACTCAGTAATTTATTAATTAATCAATTAAACTCACGTGTTAAAAACTTGCATATTTATAAAGCCACAATTTGGTGCAACTTTCAGATTCTGGATACAGTATATATGGAGCAATCCCAACCCTTCAGAACTGCTAGCTGGAGGGAGCTAGGATTGAATAGGGCGCCACTCCACCTACCAAGAAGTGTCCTGCTGGCAGGGAGGCCCTGTCCACCACAGAAGGTCCCACAATGCTTACAGAAAACTCCACCAATAGTGATGGTGATGTTTCTGTAGGTGGTAGCTGTCATTTGGCCATGAAATGATGGCATTCACTCCCTCAAGAAGTAGCGATGGCCACCAGCTTAGATGTCCTTAAAAGAGGATTAGACAAAATCATGGCGGGCAAGGCCATCAACGCCTCCTGGCCATGATGCCTATGTTCCCCGTCCAGTATAAGAGGTATTATATAACCATTAGGGCTAGGAGCTATGAGGTCTATGCTGCTGCAATTCACCACAGTGCCCCACCACAAAAGCATATATTGCAAAGGGTAGATGGTTGTGTTGAAACATATGCTGGATTGGATATTGGCCAGAGCTGCAGCCAACCCATATGGTGGCCCCATATTTTGAGAAAAGTACGCACACCCCTCAGACTTTATATGTTTCCCGTGGGAACATTTAGAGCACCACTGCTGTGGCTGCAGAAAATGTGGTCATCATGGCAAGATGGGATATATCAAATGGCTTGTAGCATGGACCACCCACCCCACAGAGGGCAGTCCACAAGGAGGCTATGGGGTGATTCATATATTACTGGAATTGCATGGGGGCTAAATTTGCATATCTGAATCCCATGCCACTCACTTTAGTAACATCTGTCAGGAAGAACAGTGTGGTTCAAATGAACTTCTCTGGGTAATACATTTCTGAGCCCTGATTCAAATCGATCCCTTTAGCTGTGTAAAGTCATTCATTAGGGTGGAAATATTGGGCCTCTGGAGTTCATACATACACACACGATTTAGAGTTAATGGGAATTCTTTTCATTGGAGGTTTTGTTGCATATCAATTTCACTTTATGCTTTAAAGTGTGTGCATAGCAACTAGCAAGGTTGATGTTCGCCTTCTAGCTCTCATCTCTGGCATTCAATTTGACTTTTCTGAAGTACAGCCATTGCCCAAGGTGTCGCCGCCTCCTTGCTGCAGCAATATTTCCCCACAGCTGGTCCAAGAGGCTGGAATCAAGCAAACGAATGTGGCATCACTATTGAACCATTAGCAGAGGAAGCTGTGTTTTCTTGGCACAATTGTACAAGGGGTGAAAATGGGTGATTTTCACCCCTTAAATGATGTGGCACTGTGAAGCTGTTTTATTATAGGGAGAACAGTCTCTAATATTTTCCCTGCGGCAGGTGTCTGCAGTGATTTAGAAAGCTGTTGGACCCCAAGAAGTGTTGCCAAGTTTAATTTTTAGAGTGCTGTGCTTGTTAACTAGGTAAAAAGTGTGCCGCTGTGGCAGTGCTGAGGGAGTGGGGCAAAGAAACTTAAGTGTCACCTAGGAACATAAAAATGTTCATTGATGCAGTGGAGGGTGGGGAGAAATAAAGGCAGAAAATGCTAACGATATTGTAGAATAAATAGATTAGAGTCAACAGTGAAAATGGAAGGGACAAGCTCATGAAAAATTCATGGGGCGGTTGCCAAGGGATTGATGGGTTATTTATGATGAAAACCTTTGTTATTTTAACATGAATTGCAGGTCATTACTACTGCTAAAAGCAACTAATGTGTGTGCTCTCCTTAAAACATTGTGGGGAGGGAGTTGGCGAGGAAACCTGTTCCTTAAAAACACACAAAAAATATTATACTCTTAACACACACCTTTGCATTTAATCACATTTAAGGGGTTTTTTGATGTTTGCTGCAATAGACTAACACAACATCAGGAAGCAGTGTTATCAGTGTGAAGCCCCACCAAAGGAGGATATGAGAAAACTGTTTAAATGACAATGGATGTGATGTAAGTAAAGGCATTACTACAACACATTTTTTTGTTTTTGTTTTTTGTGTGGACAGAGGCTGTGAGGAGATCTGGGGTAGTTCCAATTGTGAAGTTGTGGCATCATTCTCCACAGTCACAACATGACTCTCTCTCTCCACACACACACACACACACACACACACAGAGAGAGAGAGAGAGCTTTCTACTCAGTCAGCTCATTGGTTTCCTCCTGACCTTGTAGGCAGGCTGCAACCAGATTCTGATTTTGAGAGGGCTGCCCAGTTACACTCAAAGTATCCTCAGCCTGTTGGCCTGTGTATTCCTCTAGTATTCCTCTTTCTGAATCTATGCTCCAGCTCCTCTGGACCCCTGACTTGGCATTTTTATTGATCCTCTTAAGGATTAGGCAGCAGCAAAGAATAGCTAGTACAGTATTAAAACAGCGGACTGAAGAAATATAATGTGTGACATTATTTTGTCTGCTTACTCAGAAATTGCTGTGTTGGCCCCAGTGACTTGTTTTCCAACTGTATATTTAAATGGTTGGTTTTTTAAAGTTACAAGATTATCTTGATACATGGCTGCCGGAAGTTTTCATTCTTTTCTTACTGATGCAAAAAGTTTCTGAATTGCCGATGATCGGCCAAGTGAAAGGTGGCAGCCCTATGGCTAGGGATGCTTATTTATTTTAAATAATTACATCTCTCAATCAAATGATCTCTAAGGTAGCTTGCAACTTAGTATTAAAATACAAGAATAAAATGCAATTAAACACCGTAGTGGGGCAGCTAAGGGATACTGTGGGGTGTGTGTGTGTGTGTGTGTGTGTGTGAGAGAGAGAGAGAGAGAGAGAGAGAGAGGTGTTAATCTAAGGTTACCAGATTTTTTTCAATGAATCCGGGGACACTTTTCAACTTCAATGAATTTTGTATGGGGGCTGATTTGTAAATCCAGGGATTGTACCCCGGGAAACAGGGACGTCTGGTAACCTTGTGTTAATCTTCCCTCTTGCCACTGCTCCTGCTGCTGCCTTTGTAGGACACCTGTGGGTATCAGTTGAGGGTGCTGTAGACTTGCCTCCTTTCTGAAGCCATCCATGCCTTTATTTGAGTGAACTTCATGGAGGAAGTTTCACAGTAAAGTTGAAAGAGCTGTTCTTTGACATATTCATCACTAAATTACAAAGCTCAAAATCTTTGCAAAAACTACCATTGTTTGGAGGCTTGGAGCCACTGCTCCCTGGTTACAGTTTTGAAATATACAGTACAGTTTCTGTATTTCCTATTGAGCAAAATCTTCCCCTGCATTTCATGCCTTGCAACAGTCAGCCCCGAGTGGTTTCTCTGTCTTTCCCTCTGTCTGACAGATAAAACGTTTACCTGTATGAGATTTTGTGGTATTCAAACATATATTTTGTGCTAAATAGTCGTTGGATGTTAATTGCAAGGGGAAAAAATAGCCTTCCTGGGTAGATTTCACATCTGTTTGCCATATGCAAAATTTAATAATGCAAGCCAACCAACACATGCTAAGGTGTCTTCTTTTTAAGAACACATTGTTATTTGGCAGGTAGGTTGTTTTCAGGTGGGTAAATGATAGAGCAAGAAGCCAAGGGAAGAAAAAGGAAGTGCTAATGATCAAGGGTGTGTGAGGAATGGCTCAGAAGACAGGGATTTAAAAAGTAAAATAAAACCCACTTCAAATGAATATAGGCACCCCCAATTCAGCCCAGAAGATCCATCCACAGAGTTTTCACTCACTGAATGTTACATTTCAATAACTCTGGGAGTACACATCTCCACTAGATAGTTTACAGATTGTATTCTCATTGAATTTAACATGTGAATGCCCCTACTACGTATGAAAATGAGATGATGGTGAACATGTCTCAGGGTCAAAAGGAACTTGGGAAGAGGTCCAGAAGAGTTGACAGAATCCTGGGAACATGAACTTTCTCCTGGTTTTTCTGTGTACATTGGCATTCAAGGGAGAGCAGCAGTAGGGATAGGTGGAGAAATTCAGTTCAGTTCTCATTTAAAGGTGAATCTGTTTAATTCAAACTTTACAAGACAATACACAAACTGAAAGACACAATTCGCACATCTCCAAATTTGCAGCGCAGTTCTCCAGCCACATCCTGTGTTCAGAAATGCTTATATTAGGGGAAAGAGTGCATTGAAATGCACATCTTAGTGAAAATATCATGCAAAAATGCATTCTATTAATGAACATTAATTTGCAAAAACATGCATACTAGGGGAAATAGCATACAAAAATGTGTACATTAGGAGAACTTTGAGCTGCAATGCTGAGGGAGTTCATCATTTTCATTTTCAAATTGAGGTGGAGAACAAGAAGACAAAGTGGACAGATTTGGGACAGCAGAGACCAGTGCTAGCACTGCCCCTGCCCCAGTCCACCTTCCACAGTTGGAGGGCAATTGCGTGGCCAGGCAGCCTCCCCTACTCTTCGATCCACCCCAATACCAAGAAAAAGAGACTTGACAACCAATATTTGGGTGAAATCAAGCTGCAACTTTATTGACAACAAATGCAATATATAAAGGGTGGGAGTGTGGGAGATCCAACAAAAAAATTGGCTGCAGAGCAAGCCACATGCCTATGTATATTTAATATGTGTAGGCAAAGCACTGATGCCTAATTTGATTGATAGAATACCTGACCTCTAGTGGGCGGGGCTTTTATGCTGTACTCTAGAATTGGCCCCTCCCTTCAGCTTGTCAGTTAAGAGGCTAACTGTCACCTGCCTCAAGATGTTTCATTTCTCTCTGTCAGTATGTAACCATGTTACATTTTTCTACTATTAAAGCTTTGTTTCAAAGATATACGCAAGCTGCTTACTTCACTGCATGAGAAGACAAACTCTGCTAAAGAAGGAGAAGGTGGAATATCTTACACTGGGTGAGTGAGGAGGTAGTTCCCTGACAGGAGGATTGATTTTTAGTCACTCCCCTCTGCACAATATATACAGTATATGTAATATACTGGAGGAGCGGGCTAAGCACACACACACCTGGTGGCCCATGCTTGTTCGCGATTCGCTGATTAGCCGATTATCCAGAAAGCAAGCTCAGCCCAAAGGCTTTCTCTGCTGCTTGGGAAACAGTCCCTGGGACTTCCCATGTCAGATCACGGCACATGAGGTAATACCAGCCCACAATCGCACGCACCAGAGAGGGTGAGTGGACTTGTGTGAAGTGGGGAGTCTTCTATACTCAAGGAGACCTCCCTCACATTTCAGAACCCTGAAAGACTCCCCACACCACACCATCATTTTCCAACTTTTACAGAACAACAGGAACAACAGTGTGAAGGGCAAAGCTGATGTAGTTACTGTGCTCCATACAGAACGGCTGAGGGAAGCATTTTGGGTGATGAAACATGGGATGAGGAAAAGGTATTGTTGAAGCAGTTTGCCCTCACACAATTCCATCCACCTCCTGCCTCTTCCAAGGTCCTCTTGATTTCATTTCTCCCAGAGAGGAAATTTGAGCCCAGAACTTTTACAAGATCCGTAGTGCCATAAATTCTCCCCTTGCTGGGGTCGTTGTATAACCAAATGGCATAAATCCCTCACACTTTCTGTATAATTTTGTGGGAATTTCTGAGTCAGTGAGATTTCATGTTTATGATTTAATTCATTTTATGTTGCCGTTTCCTTTTTACACGCTTGTATGCTGTTATAAAAGTGATTTAAAGAAATTGGCTGAATAAAGTGAAAGATAAAAAGAATCAAGCATTAAAAAACAAACAAACAGGAAGAAGCAAAGGTGAGTGGAAGAGATGCTGGCCCAGTACTGAATGCGAATGAATCATTTCTACAATGGAGGCAATATTCTGAAGGACTGCACAATGTGACATTAGAGAATTACTCTAACAAGAGTATCCCTCCTACTCCAATTGATCTTTCCATCAATTGCTGTTCATTTGCTATGGATGAATTCACTAAGGTGGACAAGCAAAGCTAAGAAAAAGCACCTGGCATAGATCCCTGAATGACTGCTGAAGTGCTTTTTGGCAGAAGGTATGAAACCAATTGGCAAACATAATTTGCTTGGGTGGTTTTTTCATGGAAGGATGGAAAGGGCAGGCACTGAATTAAATTCATCCTTAACAAAATCCACTGGAGGACCTCCGGGTAGATACTGAGGAGTTAGGAACAGTCACATTTAAAGTCAAATATACTTAAATAGCACTTTCTGAAACAATACGTACACAAAGGACAGCTATCCATCAAAATGCACATTTCTTCAAATTTCGCAATACAATTTTCCAGCCAAGCAATATGTAAAATAAAAAAGGCACATACTAGGCTTAAGGTGCATAAAAATGTATATATCGGTTAAAACAAACAAACATTGACATGCATTATATTAGGGAAAGCCCTTTGCAAGATGTGCATATTAGGCAAAATCACATACAATGAATATGAGGATGATGAATTTTCATGCAGATGTAATTCCTCCCTCCACCCCAAACTGATGTGGAAATGTGGAGAAACAAATTTAAGGTTGCAAAAATGAAAAACCAAAACTTAGAGATTTCTTTGCCCCTACAGGTAGAAGATTGATCCAAGTGAAAGGGGCCTTTCTCTCATGCCCTCACGATTTCTCTAAGCCAGTCCATCACCCATCTCTTGCCTTTGTATTTGACTCAATCCTCCACCAATCATCAGATGGGATGCTGTCCACTTGCCAACTTCCATTTCCCCAGTGGAGGAATCATCTCAGCAAACTGTGCAAACCAAAGGAGAGAGATGGATAAGCTCCTTACACCCCTCTCCTGGAACATTGCTTCTTGCGTTTATAACTTATTAAAAAGCGTTGACTTTTTTATTATTAGAAATCCTCTCCAGCAAAAACTGGGGCAGTTTAATATAACCTCTAAGCCTGCCAAAGCCACATGCAATAAGTAAAAAGCAGGTTATCCCCGGATCTCCAGCTTGCTCACTTTACTTGCACTGATTACTTATTAAGTATTCATAGTGAGCTTGGCACTTGAAAGCTGGGGAAAGACAACACAACTCTTGCTTCCCCTAATACAATTTCATCATCCAAAGAGACAAGAAACCCAAACTGTACTGCGCAACCCTGAGGAGGACTGTAACCGGGCAGATTTTCATAAATATCACTCTTCTCTTGACTGTTATGGCAACCACATGTCTAGGGTTCTACACTGAGAAGGGAGCCTCCATGAGAAGAAGCAGGCTCCCTGCTGCAGATAACCACCCAGGGTAAGGAGAATAGCGGGCAGAGCTAGCACACTCAATTCTATCCATCCCCACCATACATGTGTTGTTTCACTCCATTTCCAGCACATGTAAACAAAGACTATGAAGGCATCAGAGACTGATTCAGGGCATTGTGACAGGCCCACTCACCTTCCCCAGTGGGCGGTGTTGCGGCGGGGCATCTGGGACCTCCCAGTGACTCGGATAGAGGGCAGAGGTATGCCAGCCACGTCATAGGAATTCCTGGCTGCGTCACATCCCTGGCTGACTAATTGGTGCAGCCGGGGGCGTGGCCACTTGCCGTTTAAACAGTGGCGTGGCTGGGGGGGCATCCTCCTTTCGCCTCCTCACCGGATCTCCCAGCCCACCCTCCCTCTTTTTATGTGTTCCTATGATTTTGGCCTTGCTAAGGACTAATGTCGGCCGCCATATTGTTGGGAATTTTTCCACTTGGTAAATAGGCACCAGCCATTTGTTTTTTGCCTAAGGTAAAGGGCCCCTGACCATTAGGTCCAGTCGTGGCCGACTGGGGTTGCAGCGCTCATCTCGCTTTAGAGGCCGAGGGAGCCGGCGTACAACTTCCGGGTCATGTGGCCAGCATGACTAAGCCACTTCTGGTAAACCAGAGCAGTGCACGGAAACGCCGTTTACCTTCCCACCGGAGCGGTACCTATTTATCTACTTGTACTTTGATGTGCTTTCGAACTGCTAGGTTGACAGGAACAGGGACCGAGCAATGGGAGCTCACCCCGTTGCAGGGATTCGAACCGCCGACCTTCTGATCGGCAAGTCCTAGCCTCTGTGGTTTAACCCACAGCGCCACCTGCGTCCCAGGTTTTCATCTACCTTGTAGCAATTGTCACAACTTTGTAAGTTTAGGCATTGTGTAAGCCTTTGTTTATGGGAGGGGAGGTTGTAGCCTTCGCCTGCCCCTCCTCAATAAGGGTATTCTGTTAATGGGATCTGGGTGTGTGGATCCTGTCTGAAGCCTGGGCATGGGCTAGGGCCATGCCATGACCCCATCGGGGACCCTGGGGGTGCCCCAATTTGACTTATTTCATAGGGCTCCCCCTACCCTTAGTGAGACTCCCTGCAGACGGGTAGGAGTCAGGATATAGTCTGGTTTCACCCAATGCCTAAGCCAAACCGCTCACATCTGTAACCAATAAAGTTGTGGCCTATTTTATCCCATTGACCTAATATATTTGTGTCCATGTGTTTATTATCTAAGGCAACTGCGGGGCCCAGGGCGTCATCACGGAAGTTCCACTGCACTGGGCATCAAGCCTAGGAAGTGTCACAGGACTTCATCAAAGCAATGATATAGTGACTTGAGCAGAACAGAAGATGACAAGTTGGGGGCACCAAATTTTGGCCTTGCACAGGGTGCCACTGAGATTTGAAAGACCAAAGTCTGCCCCTAGAGGCATGCGAGAGAGAAGACAAAGAGCAGGGAGATGAAAGCAACATGAGGGGGTCATTGTAGGACTTGCCATTAGAGTGGAGTTGAGAATTAGGACAACTGTGTGGTGAGAGAGGTGTATGAGACCTATGGCAGACAGGGACGAAAGAGGGGGGTTGGGCAATGTGATTGTGGAGAGCATGGGGTTAGGAGTTACGAGGCCTTCACTTAGAGCATGGTGCTGATAACACCAAGGTGGCAGGTTTGATCCCCATATAGGACAGGTGCAGACCCTGAATTGCAGGGGGTTGGCAAGATGATCCTTAGGGTGCCTTGCAACTCAACAATTCTATGATTATATGTGCTTGGAATTATGCTACATATTTTTGAAGGAGTCAAAATACATGTCAGCCTTTATATCTGCCACACAGGACAGCGTGCAGAAAAATACTGGATATTCCAAGTTTCCTTTTCTGTGGCCTGTTGGCCATGTGGAAAATGTTAGGCATGCTTGTACTTAGCCTTTATACAGTCCCTGTGAAAATCACACTGTGCTGTTCGGATTGCAATGCATGTAAGATGTTGGGCATTTCTCATCAAGCCCTAGAAACCATTTGCATTGTTTGCCAAAGGGTATTGTGGTCAGAGAGTGAAATGTACTGTTTCACACTCCCTTGAGCAGTGGAAGTCCCTGGGCAGCTTTAAATAGTCAGCTTCCTTTCTACCAAGGACTTGTGGGTGTTTTGTAATATTATGCTTGCAGATGGAGAGAAGGCAATATGCAAAGAAGCACACATCTTGTGCCCGGGATGCAAAGTAATGTCACTTTCAAAGCAACATTAGCCGTGGAAGCCCTCTAGCTTTCGCCAGCAAGCTCTAAACAAATAATATAAAATCCCTCTAGAGCTGCTTCTCTCTCTCTGATCTTGTGCACCCCATAACTTTTGTGTACATTAATGTATGACAGCCATTCACTCCCTTAGGATACACTAAAGGACAGGATTTTGGAATACCGTTGTGGTGGAGGCAAGTTCTTCGTCCCTGTGGTGTTTGCCCGTTCTTTCGAAAATGTCTGTACAGGGGGAGAGAAAGGGTTAATAGGTAGACCAATAGAAAAGCCAGAGGTGGAGCCTACCTGTTTATAAAAGGGCTTAGTCCAAGTTTGAGAGAGCCAGTGTGATGTAGTGGTTAAGAGCGGTAGTCTCGTAATCTGGGGAACCGGGTTTGCGTCTCCGCTCCTCCACATGCAGCTGCTGGGTGACCTTGGGCCAGTCACACTTCTTTGAAGTCTCTCAGCCCCACTCACCTCACAGAGTGTTTGTTGTGGGGGAGGAAGGGAAAGGAGAATGTTAGCCGCTTTGAGACTCCTTAAAGGGAGTGAAAGGCGGGATATCAAATCCAAACTCTTCTTCTTCTTCTGAGTTAGCTAGTTAGTGGGTAGTTTGTTGGTTTTAGTTGGTTGGTTGGTTGGTTGGGAAAGGCAGTTGTGAAAGCAGTTGGCAGACAGTTGGAAATAGAGAGACAGTTAGTGCAGTGGGTTCTTGTGTGAGGGGAGGTAGAAGAGTTAGAGACAGGATAAAATAAGACTGAAAAGGTAAAGAGTAACAACGTTTTGAATGCAGTTAAAGTTTATTTGTATTTGCAATAAACTACACTCTTCTTTGTTAACTTAAGAACCTGACTGAGACTAAGTGATTTACCGGGGAGGACCTGGTTGGTGGCAGCGGATTAGTGGTGTATGGGTCAATAGTCCGTGAGACGACCAGGGGCTCCGTACGAACGCCACAATCCCCTTCTCTGAAAATGGGCTGCCTGTAACTGAGTTGTCACACAATTCATATCAAGGGACAATGCCAGTGAACTGGAAGGTTCTTTCTGAGGTATAAGATCTGAGGAATTATCAGTCGCATTTCATTATTATTATTATTATTATTATTATTATTATTTTGTTTATGATTTTCAGTTGCATACATTTCAATAGTTTTACAATCAGTCTAACATTTCAAAACTTGACTTCCTTCCTCCTCTTTCTGCGGTTCCTTCAATTTATTTTTTACATTTCCTGCATATTCTAAATTAACTTAACTTATTCTTTTATTCATCTACTTTAAATATATTCTCTTATAAAACTGCGTGTTATTACAATAATCCTGCCAATGTCCTTATCTGTTTACAATTTGTTTGTAAATATTCAGTAAACCATTTCCATTATCAGTAGCGTTTCAATAAGGCTGGTGAAATTCCTCTGGGTGATTCCTCTCACCCTAGTGGTTTTGCTGAGCCATTACAGGCTCAAGTGTATTCTTACCTCCATGGCTGGACAAGGGGACATGGACATGCCTTGTGGGGAAAGTCGTGAGGGGCTTGGAAATGCTGCTAAGAGTGAACTGGGGTCAGGGTGCAATGTCAGGACCCCATGCAGCCCTGCAGGCCCTGCTCAGCCCCAGTGGTGAGACCCTATGGTGAGAGTTGCAGTGAAGACAGCCAATGAGATGCCATCTTCAGGCTTGCAGGGCAATGAGAGCAGTGAGGGGGTGGGATGTGGGAGAATGATTCTCCTCTATGTTAGTCATGTTCTTGTTAGTTTTGCAACCCCAAAGCTGGTGTCTTAATTGGCTAAGCTCGCTGTCACTCTTGCCTTGGGGCCAGAACTGGTAAAAGTTGAAATAATGGGTAGCTGAGGCTGTAATTAGCATGGTGCCGCAACATACCTGACTTTTTGGAGACATGAAGCACGATCCTATGTATGGTTGCAGGGCCAGCTAAATACCAGTACATTTTGACACCTGAGGTGGACCACAAAATGGTGCCCTCTCTCTGCCAGCAAAGGAGGGGTGAGGGAAGACCTACCTCAGAAATAAGGGGGAAAAGAAAGATCAACATCAGGATCTGATCTACTACTAATCATCCAGATATCCCTCAGTAGATCCCAAACCACCTGGATGTAGATATTCAGCCTACTACTTATTTATTTGAGCCTTGCTTCTAACATTGAGTTGTGAGGGGCTGATCCGTTGGGTGTGACAGACAAGATTACTGCCTCGTTGAGAGATTGAGCTCTCCTAGCCTCTTTGAAGGACATATTTGTGTGACCACTGCTAAAGGAACTCTCTCTGGACCACCCTTCCCTAGCTTGGTGACCTTCAAATGTTTTCAACTGCAATGTCCATCAGCCCCAGCTAGCACAGTCAGAGATTATGGGAGCTGCAGCACAGGGCATCTGGAGGGCACCAGGATGAGGAAGAGAGGTGTAGATCTTGTGGAGTTGTAGCCACCTTGCTCCCTGGCATGCTCTGCTTCTGTGTATAGGAATTTTTTTTGTTTTCAGTGTGGACCTCAGTCACAGGACCTCATGCATGCAGTCTAAGGTAATACAACCCAGGCACATGTTTACAACCTTGCTGGGAATGAGGCTTCTGTCTCTCCTTTTGATGGGTTTCCTGAGCATATAGAATTTCAGAAGCAGAGAGAGTTCAAACATGGTGTGTTACTTTGATTTTAATGTCTTGTTTGATGTCTTTAAGCTTCCAGATGTTATGGGTTGTTGCTGAATCTTGTATAAGGGAAAATATTTCCCGGTGGACTTTGTCAGTTCTCTCATAGTCTGTGTTCAGCTCAGTGCGGGGAGGGAGGGAAGAGGAATTCTACCCATTTTTTCCTGTTATATAAATTACTCCTTATTGACCTCATGAACAACTGCAGTATGACTATAAACCAAACAGGGCAAACTGGATAGGTGAGAGTGGAGCAGAAACAATTATTTTTGCATGAAAGTTCTCGTTGGGGTTGTACTGATAATATTAATGTTCTGCCTATCTCCCACGTATGCAGATTTGCAAATCGTGACTTTAGGTCGGAAATGAAATCCCTCCTCTTGCTTTCTTGTCTTCTAGTTTTTGCAATGTGCTGCTTCTCCGGTTCCTCGTTTTAGATTGTTATCTTCTGTGTGTGCATAATTTGTTAAATAACTATAATCCGCAATGAAAGCCTACATTTCCTCTCTCTTTATGTTTGCCATCGCAAATCAGCACAGGACTAAACTAGTTGTTATGCTCAGTGCAAAGCTGACCCCTACAAAACAGAAGCTGTAGGTCTGGCTCAGCAACATCTAGGTCAGGGCTTGGGGGCCTTTTTCGGACTGAAGGTCTCTTGGCCTTGCTAAATCACTGTCCCCATCACTAAATCATTGCCTTCCTGGACAGGCTTTGGGAAGGCTTTTTAGGCATTATATATGGACCAGACTTGCAATTCTTTAGATTTCAATTCCTCACCCCAAATCTTAAAAAGTTAATGCAATGGTGGAGGAGCAGGACAGTAGGCTTTTGTCAGTGGGTTCACCTCTGGTGTGTTCACTTCCCAACCTTTGAATCCAGTCCTGAATTCTCACCCTAGATATACCACTATCTTCCCGCCACTCTCTTTCCCCCCACTCCATCTGGCCTAACATTGCAGAGTTGCTATTAAGTATTTAGTAAGCAGGTGGAAGCGAAGAGTTCTTAGCAAAAAAATGTGACACAAGGATTTTGATTCTGCAAACCTCTCACCTGAGCAAAAGACTGTGGTGAACAAAACTAAGAATACATAGGTTGGGCATCATCTATGGTAGGGATGGTGAAGTTGTGGCCTGCATATGCTTTCAGATTCCAGCTCTCACACTCCCATCTGGCACGGCTAGTGGTCAGGGATGGTGGGAATTGTAGTCATACAAAATCCAGAGGATTTCATGGTCCCAGTCTCTGACCTAAGAGGATGTTGAAGTGTAGGAATGAAAAAGAAGCAGAGCTGTTCTTGCTGGATCATGTCCAGCTTCCCAGTTTTGCTTACCATTTTGAAAAACCAATTAGTTAATAGCTATCCTAGAAGATGACAGCCGAATGTTCATGTTGGAATCATAAATCAGCCTGAATTCTTTCTAGGATGATGCTTTTCGCATGTAAACCATCTTGGGATTTTTCATGACAGATGACATAAATGGTAACAAATAAACAAAGACACACATCACAATTTAAACACTGGAATAACAGAATCCATCATGCTGTTGTTTAACGCAAGGATCCTCAAATGCAAAATCAAAGCTGGAAAATATTTCCTTTCATGTGCCACTAGAAACTATCAAAAGCTTGTCTGCAGCAGCAGCTAAATTATACGCGGCAAAGAAATGGAAATCTCTAGATATCCCACCAGTTCGATCCATAATGAATGAGATCTGTCAGTCAAGCAAAAATTAACTGAATAACTCCCAAAATGAAAGAAACCCCCCGCAATTGCATTTTTTAGATATATTGAGCCCACATAGAAAACAAGCTTTCCGGGAGCACACTAGAATCATGCAAATGTGTGTGTGTATATTGTAAGGTAAGATTAGAAAGAGTGAGAAGTAAACATCTTTGACAGAACCAAGTTCGTATTGTGTTTGCTGAGTTTAAGGAAGGGAGGGAAGTCATTGATCAGCATTGGCCATTCATTAGCAAAGCGAATGTAAAGAGGTGTGTACTACTTGCCATACTGAGTCTATAAACTTTACAAAATAGTCCCTATTTCCCCAACATTGGCAGAAAATTGGTCAAATCAACCTCAAACTTGTTTGGAAGTAGCTTAGAACTTTGCAAAGTTCAAACCAACTCTGAACAACATACAAATTACTTACTAGATAACAGAGCATGCTTGTAGCATTGAAGGTTCCAGGTCATCCCAAGGGTTAATTTGTCTTTAACTAATTCAGACATCATTGATTCAGGATAACATCAGTTATCCTACATCATTTTTTTGGGTGGGAGTGGGAAAATCATAGTTGATAGCAAACCTCTATGAGTACTGCATTAGAAAATTTGACACCCCCCCCCAATTATGTAGTGCATTTCAAGATCTGAGGGAACATTGGACTCAGCTACATTAGTCAAAAAATAACGCTTTGAATGCGTTATAAACAAGCAACACCAGATGGCACCAAAGAGCAAAATTAATTTCTATGTGATTTTTACATAGTGTTTTTTCTTTCATTATAACGATTTTATTTCTGACATATTCATAGCATCCCCCCCCATGTGTAGATCCACCCCTTTTCAAAAATTAACAATTTTACAATCCAGATAGTTTTGCATATTTTCTGGTGGCTAAACACTGCCCTGTTTACTTCAGCAATTTCCAAGCAACAGTCCTTTCACATCAGAAGTTTGTGTCATATTCCAGTTTAAACAATATAATATAAATATAAATGATATAAAAATGGCATGTGTCAGATCAAGCAGAATAGGGGGCAGCTATTGTTATAATAGGATCTGACTGAATAGGTTGGGATTTGGTAAGTAATAGATCCTATGGATGAAATCTATTTTCCAATGACAATGCAACGACCAAAAAACAGTATAAGAACTTCTTATACAGTATTTTTAGAGGTTCTCAAAGTGAGAAACACTGTGTTGGATGGCTTGTTCTTTTGCAAGCCACCACATTTTCTTATTTTACATACAGTCAACCACTTAGGATGATATGTGAAGGGCCTCTGATTAAAACCCAGTCACTACAGTTGTTATGTTGTTATTATCCCCAAAAGCAGTAAGTGGACTGCTGCAGCATGTCACATACTAGAAAATGGGGAAATCAATTCATTTACTTTGTGTTGTGATGCACACCTACCTAATCTGCCCTTCCCAAGCCAATATACTTCAAAATTCAATTGTCTCCAAATTTTGCTATGAGGTTCTCCAACCCAAAAAATATACACGTGTTTGTGGGGGGGGGAATAGGATACAAACATGCATTATACTAGGGGGAAATTGTTTGCATATGATAAAGGTAAAGGACCCCTGGATGGTTAAGGGGTCATTCCACATCAAATCAATGCAAAAAACAAGGGTTTTACCATCTCAGATTTTGATGAAACTTGGTATACAC